AAGAATAAGGAGCCATGCCTTTGAACTAGCCGTCGAAAAAAATTTGAAACATAATGAAAGACATAATTTTTTCACTAATCGAATAGTTAAAAACTGGAATTCTTTATTAACTACCACAGTAAACGCACCATCACTCAACTGTTTAACTGAAAAAATTTGCGCGTAGCGAATTTTTTCGCTACGACAAAACGCCGTTTTGATTTCCACTTACTTTCTTTTGCGTTATTTTTTTTTTGTTGTCAACAATAAAAATGGCAGCAATAAGTTTACTCTGTATGTTTAACTAAAAGCAATAATTACTTTTTTAGCATACTTTCTACTTTGAAGCAAGTAGAAATTTCTTTCCATTCATTAATTTTAATATTTATGTCTTTGTATGTAAGATCTGATATCATTTTGTAATTTAATATAATTTTTTTTATAAAAAAGTATAAGAAAATAAATGCTAAACTCTGATATAAACATTTCTGTTAAAAAACTGTTACTACAAGAACAAACAGCAGGTTTAACTCTATGTAAGGTTTCTCACAAAAAAGTTTATCTTCGTGTGGCCACTTGAAAATAAACATTCTTATGAAGTGTAACTTTCGTCATTGACAATATGTAAATTCTTAAGTCTTGCTCATTATTTGATGAATTTACTAATGCTTGCCAATTTTCAGAGAAAGTTCATATAAAATCAATGAGAACGCCAGGTTACGAATTTTAAAAAATGCTTTCGCATTTTTTTACTGTTTACGTCACGTGATTAATATTTAAAATTTTATTGGTTTTCGCTAATGGCGATTTTTTTTTTTTTTTTTTTCCATATATTTTTTTTACAACTACATAGCTTTAACAATACATACTTTTATTACAAATAGTACATACATACATACATACATACATACATACATACATACATACATACATACATACATACATACATACATACATACATACATACATACATATATCCATACATACATACATACATACATACATACATACATACATACATACATACATACATACATACATACATACATACATACATACATACATACATACATACATACATACATACATACATACATACATACATACATACATACATACATACATACATACATACATACATACATACATACATACATACATACATACATACATGCATACATACATATTCTCATACACATACACACATATACACACATACATAAACATGCACATACACATACGCATACACATTTGCAAAAAGTCGAAATGAAACCGCTGGAGCGAAACGCTGTATCAGAATAATTGCCAGAAAATTTTTATCTGTGCATGTTTATCGACAAAAAAATTCGTTTCGCACGAATATTTCGTTTTGTGAAAAACGGCCTTTAAACGTTCATCTATTAATACGTCTTGAGTTTCTTTGACCATTTCTCTTATGTTTTGAACAGCTACTTCTGTAATGGTAGAACAAGAGCGGCTTAAGAACATATTCAATCGTAAACACTGCGTCTTCAAAATTGTCATTCATTTTCTTATAAGGTGGTCATGTGATAAAAAATAAATTTTCCTTTGTCTTCAAATCTCTTAAAAGTTCAAAAAATTCTCAAAATAGGACCAATTAAATCACACATACACAAATTATTAAGCACCCTGTACGATAATTACAAATCGATTACATTGTTTGATATTTCTGATTACTTAAGAAAAATATCTTACAAAGTATTTTGAAATAATTTTTTTTTGAAGTCTGAACATGAATAAAGGAGATAATTTATAGACGTTGATAGACGTTAAAAATAACTTTTTTGTTTTTTATAATTACTTTTTTTGAATTTTTCCATATAAATCTTGTATTAGTTAATGCAGCTATATTTTCATTTAAAACATTATCAAATACTTATTTAAATTAGGTCCAAATATTTTAATGGAGAAAAGTATCTAACATTTTCTTTGAAAATTTTTTTTTTTAATATTAAGAAGTTTGATATTTTAGATGAAAATTTTTTATTATAATAATTACATCCGTAAAATATACATACAATATATACATAAATCGAGCAGGGAAAACAGCCTACTATAAACAAACAGTTTTATAAATATTCGTTCAGAATTTTACCCCCAACCAGTGAACCAGTCTAGTTTTAAAGAAAGTACAGTTGAGTAGAAAGTTACTTGCTGGGTTAGTTCGTTCCAGTATTTTGCTGATCTATTATATAGTTGGAACCCAGTTCAGATTGTGACCATTAGTGTTTTGATTTTCAATACATGTTTTTAATGTTTCAAAAATATCAGATCCAGTTGTTGAGGTTTAAAGCTTACAAAGGCCAAGAAGTTCTTGGACAACATCAAAGTTATTGTTGACACATCTCATGTAAACTAATAATTGAGAATTTTCAGTTCGGAATTGTCAATTCTCCATGTTCATTTGTTTCATTTTCGAAAAATGAACAAAATTTTCTTCTATGAAGCGCCCTTGCTCTTATTTTGTTATTGCATGTTGCAGCAGTTTTAATGACATGGCCAAATTCCATATCTTTTGAGCTCAGCACTTCTTGGTGAATAATGCAATGGTATTTAAAAAGTTTTTTTTGTAAATATTTTTCAAGAAGAGAAACACATTCACTGTGCTTCCCAACCATTGCAGGTGCACCATCAGTGCTAATACTATCTAGTTCCCAGTTCAGATTGTGATCATTAGTGTTTTGATTTTCAATACATGTTTTTAATGTTTCAAAAATATCAGATCCAGTTGTTGAGGTTTGAAGCTTACAGAGGCCAAGAAGTTCTTGGACAACATCAAAGTTATTGTTGACACATCTCAAGTAAACTAATAATTGAGAACTGTCAGTTAAATCCCAACTCCAACTTTCATCAATTGCTATTGAAAATTACTTTAAAAGCGAGGAGGCAACAAAGATTTGTTTGATACATCAGAGGCCATTTCTTCAACTTTTCTCATTACTGTATTTCTGGAAAGAGCAATATTTTGTGACAATTTTTGTGCTTGAGTCTCCAGTGTTTCAGCAAAAATTGATAGACATTCATTTACAACATTCCTGTCTGAAAAACTTTTTTTCTTTTGCGCAAGAAGAAGAGAAATTTGGAATGAAACTTTCATCATGTTTTCATTTCTTGCTGTTTTTTGACAAAGAAATTTTTTTGAGATGCCAGTTGTCAACATATTTGAGCTTTTTTTGAGATGCAAAACTTGCTCTAAGAGCAGATCCATAACTTAATGATCTGATCTTAGAAAAAGTTTTTTAGATTTCCTCATGGCATAAGGATGTTTAACATTGAATTTGTTGTGCAATGCTTCAAAATGTCTTTGAAGATTATAGTTTTTCATCACAGCAATAGTCTCAAAACAGATCAGACTTAAAGGTTTCGAAGATTGAGATTGGATAAACAAAAATTTCTCGTCCCACTCATATTTAAAAAAGCATCTTATTAGCTCTTTTTTACTTTTTCTTTATTGTGATTAATAAATTCCTTTACTCATTGCCAATTTATTGTGAAACAGCAATTCAAACCTAAGTAAAATAAATTTGTAACGGCAAAAAAATATTTTTTTCAGCTAAACCTGTTACTTATAACTAATTTAATATCCTAAAGATCGTGATATTGAGGGTTTACTCACATTTTGCATACGTAAACAACAAAAGTATTAACGCAACTTTTTGAATTTCTTTTTTAAAAACGTAATTCGAAAAATAATAAACGTTATGAAAACTCCTTCGTTTAAAAATAATCAGAAAACAAAAGAAAATTGAATTACTTTCCTTAATATTCAATGAAAGAGTTTATTTAAGTCAACTCATTTAATGCGATTCAACCCTTTATCTCCAGTGGAATTTAAATTTGAACCGTTCTCCTAAATATCCAAATTGTTTAACGGGCATTTAAAAAAGTCTCTTAGGGCGTTTTTTGACCGCGGACAGTGGTTTGGCCACCAAAGGATCAAAATATAAAAATGTTACACGAAAGATTTAAATGTTTTGTTTTCCAAAGAAATATCTGCGGCCAATATATTTCCTCTTTTTTTTTAATAATTGAATTTCTGAGCAAACACTTTTTTACAAGAGTTTTTTTCTTTATTATTACCTGTTTTTTTTTATTTATTATCACCTTATTATCATCTGTTTGCAATCATTTAGAAACATTATTTTTTACACTTCTTTTGCCCCCTCCTCGCATCCCTTCCTCCTCCGTTATTTTTCAAATTGTGTTCCACAAATTTTTTGTATTTTTTTATTAAGCAATGAAAAGCAGTTACCTATTTTTTCATTGCTTTTTTTCATTTGTCAGTTTTTATTTTTATTTTCAGCAAAGTTCTCTTCATATTGTGTAGATAATCATATTCTATAGATAATCTTATTGTACAAATAACACGTGAATAAAAAAAAAAGCATTAACTCGTGTTATTGCAATCAAAATTGATAAATAAAAATAATAAAAAGAATTAAGGATAAAAATGATTTGTTAGGAAGATAGTGAATAAATAGAGTAAATGAATCATATTTATTAAAAAATTTACAACTGATGATAGATAGAATGGGGTATATGGGATAAAGGAAGTTTGATATGATGGGGTAAGTATTAAAGAATGAGCTGAGGTGACAAAAAAAATTGTCAACCTAATAATTGAAAAGAAATATAAAAATTCAATATATTATTATTTACAACAAAATTTTCTATAGATAAAATATTTATATATTTATTATTTGTCTTTTTATAATTCATTTTATAAACTCCATAATATTTTATAATTTTCAGCAACAACCAATCATGGGGTTTATAATTTTCAGTAACCAATCATGGTGTTTACCAGTTATGATTTTACGACTTAGTGGATTTTTTATGAATTTTACAAACGCTTGCATATGATATTGCGAAACTGATTTGAAGTCGTTGTCGAATTTCCTTTTTTTTACAATATGTAAAATATTTTAAATTCCTAAAAATTTCTGGAAATTTTTTGAATTCTAATTTTCAAGTATAATAATTTATATAGCTCTTTATTACTATTTGTAAAACGGCCAAGAATTTGGGTAAGTGGAAGTTTGGGAAGGAGTGTTATAACTGTTACTATAATGATGGTTGTGACCGTTATATGGGTCAGGATAAAATGGTGGGTAGTTCATATCAACAGGAGAATTTGACGGGAGATAAGTTGGTCTGTTGCAGTAGGGTAAACATACATCTGAAGAAACTTGATTGTTTTGCACAAGAACTGGTACATTTCGATGCTGAAAATGCAACCATTCATACGGTGGAGGTCTTGTACGACTCTCGATTGTTTGTTTTTTACATTTGTATCGTTTATTTTGAAACCAAATTTTTACCTAGTAATTTAAAAACAAATTTAAAATGTTAATACATATATATATATATATATATATATATATATATATATATATATATATATATATATATATATTATATATATGTATTAACCTTTATACATATATATATATATATATATATATATATATATATATATATATATATATATATATATATATATATATATATATATATATATATAAGTAAAAGTGCTACTATAACTAGGTATTAAAACTATTCTGCTTCTATATATATTTCCCTTTTTTTTATATAATTATAATTTTTTTTTATATAATTATTATTTTTCTCTGTGAAAAAATTTTATCAGATTTTTTAAGTTTATTCCAGACTTCATATTCACAAAACAAAATCCATTCAAACCCATATTTTTTATAATTATAGAAATAAAATTTTTCGCACAGAATAATTTTGTTTTTAATTTCTGATTTTTTATAACTGTTACATAAGCTATAAAACTTATATGACTTACATAACAAATAACTTTTTAGAATAATACAGAATAGTACAACAATTTTCTTTGATTTGTATATACGCTTATTTACGGTCCAAATAGGAATGGAGCAAAACTAAGTGAAAAACTATTGTTAAAAGATTATTATTATTATTAAAAGATTATTAGAGCACCATAGCAGTAAAAATAAAAACATCTCAGCCTTATAAACTACGAAAAAGTACAGAAAAATAGCTTATAAAGCCAACCAATTGAAAAAAATCTTTCCACATATCAAAAACTTCATACATTTAAGGTTACACTTATATAGATAGGAACATGTCAAAAATTACTTATGAAGTGGTGGATAAAACAAAAATTATATATGACAAAGATTGAAGTTATATAGCTTCAAACTTTCTATTCATTTAATTTACAGAAATAAATAATCAAAAGTTTTGAATTTAGAATGACAATGATAAGATACAGGAAAATACTAAACACAATTAATATTGCAGACCTCTATCTTCTCAATCGTAAGGTCCAAAGGGAGTAAATCTAAAATGGTTTTTACAAGGCTGTAACATTTAAATATATATTTTTTGCTTTCCTCAAACAGTGGCCGCACTTGATCATGATAAAGTTACAAACAATAAACTCCACTTTTTAAGACTTTTATGACGAAACATGTCAAGAATTTTTTTTAAAGAAATACCTCTGAGTGAGGCTATTGTTCTCAAAAACCATTTTATAACAGGTAGAAATTTGAGGTAACCTAAATATGAAGTTTTCTACTGAGATGGAAAAATTGATAATTGGTTAAAATTGGTGCCGAAATATCTTTCCAATATTGATGCTATTTATTCTGAATTTACCCCTAAATAAAAACACTGAAAACACTCGTAAATAAAACACTGAAAGCACTCGTAAATAAAACACTGAAAACACTCGGAAATAAAACACTGAATACACCACTAAATAAAATGAATAGCTCTTAGAATTCAAAAAAACGCATTATTTTTTTTATACCAATAAAATATTATTATAAGTTGTTGATATCTGCTGGGATTCAACAGCCTCAAAAACCGAAAGCATTGATTGTCTTCAAAAAAAAATTTCAAAAATAATTTAAAAAAAATCATCATAAAGAAAGTCTGAGAGTTATTTTTTGGAAAGAATAGATTTCTTAATCACACAGTGTTTTTTGGAGTCTTCTCTTCCTTAAAAAAATCCACCAAATGGATTTGTTCAAGTGTCTTTTACAAACCTTGTTTAATGACCATTAAGATTTCCAATGCATTTATAATACCTATCGGGCGACTTGCACGTTTTGCATATATGATTGATGTGAAGAATTAAATTTTCTCCTCAAACTCAGCAAATGCTTTAATTAGTCACTCAAAAACTGATTAAGTTTTTTTTCAAGGATAATAAAAAAAGCCAGAAGAAAACATTAACTGTCATAGTAAGACATCCTACTTGTTCTAAAAGTAAGACATCCTACTTGTTCTAAAAAGTAAGGCATCCAACTTGTTTTAAAAAGCCAGCAAAGACAGAATCACATTTTTTCAAAATTTTATGGAAAAACAGATTTATTTAATAGTATTAAATACGCATGTGCTATGTGGTTACTATGCAGCTAGTTGAAGATCATCAAAATTTATGTAATAATTTCAAGAAAAAAGCAAACATTAAAATTTCTTTTCTTAAAGAAAATATTGGTTAGAATTAAAACATTACATGTTGAATTAATTTAAAATGTAAAAGTTAAACAATTTTTTTGTTTATATGTCGTAGAAAATGTAAATAATATGCAACTCTATGTAAAAAGCAATTTTTAGGTCAATTTTACCAGAAAAAGTACAATGTCTATGTATTGGCATTTTTTCTTTTTTGTATTACTCTCAAAATATATATGAAGCGAAGATGAATTTTTAAAACGCTGCATGAGCAATTTTGCTTTTATATGCCAACTTAAATAATTTTAAGTAACTTAAATATCACCAAATGATGCATAATAACAATTGTATGCATAATAACAATTGTATATATATAAAAAACAACTTTATAAAATTATTACCTATATAAAAAGGGCACTTTCATTTAAAAACTAGTTTTTTAGAAAAATAATATATAAGGTGCTGCATAAAAACAAAATTGCTCATTTCTATTTATAAAAATGAACTCTTTCAGTTATATATATATATATATATATATATATATATATATATATATATATATATATATATATATATATATATATATATATATATATATATATATATATATATATATATATATATATATATATATACACACATACATACCTGCGTTGGTGTGAGATTTAATTTATTTGCAATTTGATCTCTCTCTGATGCTGATAAATATTTTTGATCTTTAAATTTTTTTTCCAACTCCATCACTTGAGATTGAGAAAATAAAATTCTCGGTTTTTTGCGGGAAGATTTTATATTTAAGAGATTTTGTTGAATAAGAGATTCAGAAGTGACATGCATAGCGTCGGCTGATGCGTTATGGTATTCGGTTTTCGCAGTTAAACTTGGAGATTCACCTAAAAAGAAAAGTTTTTTTTTTCAAATTTATCTATGTGAGTACACGTTAATACGTTAAAATCGAACTGTTTATAATACGTTAAAATCGGATTGTTTAAAAACGTGTAAATGCGTTGAAATCGAACTGTTTGAATGCGTAAATATTATGACGTATTTAAAAAAATTTATTATGGTTTAAGGTATTCCGGCTGAACTCAAAAAAACAACCACAATAATTTTTTTTTGTTTTTTTTTTTTGACAGAGTTATTTGGTTTTAGAAAACGCAGTTAAATAATTTCCTTGAAGTTTTGCTTTCTTTTTGGTTTTAAAATTTAAAAATCAATTTTTAATCTTTTTTTATGAGAACCTTTTTCACTTTTTTTTCATTTTTTTTTCAAAAACTTCTTTTTTCTTTAAATAGCTTTTTCTTTTTTTGTTTAAAATTATTTCTTTGTTTTAGATTATTTACCTAAATTTTTTATAGTAGTAATTTGAAAAAATTTCTTCCATTAAGTTTTCGCTGAAGTAAAATTATGTAAATGATGTAAAAATGTAAATTAAAAATAATTTAAGAAATGCTTTAAAATTATTTTCATATCTAATAATAATTGCTTTTATTTATATTAATTTTTTGTAATAAGATTTCTCTCCGTATTTCTTTATTGTTTTTATTATTTTAGTTGTTTGTTTGTTTGTTTGTTTTTTAAATTTTATACCTTAAATAGTTCAGAACATTTTAAGTATTAAAAAAATTATTTTAGAGATATTAAAAACTTAAAACTTATTAAATTAAAAACAAGTCATAAAGTGTTTAAGTCCGTTTAATACAGAAAAATTATGTATATAATGCGATGCTTATTAAAAGTAGAAAATATTTTAGCTTTAAATTTATATATAGAATGTGGTTCTTATTAAAATATTTTAGTTTTAAAATGTTAGGCTACTTAATACTTTAAATTCTTTAATTTTTTTTTAAATAAACAAAATAAAGGCTGTTGACAGTTGGCATAATGCTGACATTTGACATATGAATGAAGAGATAAAAATGATGTTGAAATTTGGCAAAATTGCGGTCAGATAATAGTTATTGAAGCTTCTTGAGGAGGTTCTTGTTTTAAGTATGTTTTGCTTCATTAAACCACAATTATTTGCGTATATTTAAGTTTTGTACATATATCTTTAAAATTAAAAACCTATAAATATGATAAATGGAAAAAATATTTACATTAAAGTACAAATAAAGAAAAAAAATATGAAAAAAATATTAAGAATTAAATTAAAAAAATATATATCTTTAGTTAATTAATAAAAATAAGAATATTTACATAATGTACATATGTATTTTAGAAATATATACATATATGTGTGTATGTGTGTTTGTTTGTGTGTATGTGTAAAAATATTAATGATAATTTTAAACTATCATGAGTAACTTTATATATTTAAATGTGCATAAATATATGTATTACTTGCATATATACATACATACAAACATATATATATATATATATATATATATATATATATATATATATATATATATATATATATATATATATATATATATATATATATATATATATATATATATATATTTATATATATATATATATATATATATATATATATACGTACATATATATATATATACATATATATACTTACACATATATGTATTCGTGTGCGTGACGGGATATTATGTGTGCAAAAATAATGATATAAGATAAAAATAAACATAAGCATAAACAGAGCAAGAAATGTAGTTTTTCTTTTAGGTTTAACATAATAACGTCATATACAGTGTAATAACACAAAACAATAAATTAAAATGAATTATAGAATTTTAATTTTAAAAAAATGATAAAATTATCAATATATCAACAAAAAAATATTTATTTTAAGATTTCGGAAGACAAATTTGTTTGTATTTTTCATCTATATTATATTCACGTTTACTCACGTGACTTTTTATTAAATTGATTTGTGGATCCAAGTTTTAAAAATCTTAACTTGAAAGTTTTAAAAATATTTAGGTTTCCATATCTTTAAAAAAAAAAACAGTTATAATTTATAAAAGAAAAATAGCTTAGCTTACACTTAGGAGAATTTTCATCAGAGCTGTTATCTTCTCTCTTGCCACGAGCGTACATTTCAGCTTCCGCAACCATGCAACTTAAACCTTGAAAAGAATGTCTGTTATTCATTCTTTTATCCCCAAAACTATATTCTACATTTGAAGTCATGTCGAAAGATATCGAAGACTTATTGAAGTCTCGCTCAGTTTCAGTTATATTTTTGTCGTTCATTTGAAAAGATTTGTTGACTAATTCTTTATTTTTGTGCATACCCTTATTGTATATGGGGAACGCGGAGAGTCTGGTTTTTATTGATATTTCATCTGAAAGAACGGAAAACTGAGAAAAATTGCTCTGATGAATCTTATTTTCATAATGTTTTCTCCTTAAGATATCGTCAACTAAAAATGACGAATTTACCGGTAAGATGCTAAAATCCATTAAGAATTCAAACTGAAAACTTTAAAAAAAAAACTGACACGTTACTATAACACGACACGAAATGCTGCTAAAAACAATAAACTAATAGAAATATTTTTTAATTTGCTAGAAGGTGATTACAAAAAGTTAGGTTACGAAGTTTAGAGAGTTTGTGTATTTATTAAACGTTCTCCCATGATGGTTTTAATGACACTTGTCTATTATGAGTGTATTTGTTTTCTGTGTTTTTAAAAGTTACGTCACGTAAAGGTCGGAATAAGACAAGGAAAAGGGGAAGAAAAAATAAGAAAAAGTAAGCCTTTTTTTAAAATAAATTAAACTATTCACTTAATTATTTTTTAATCAATATACTAAAAAAACTTGGTAAAAACCATTAGATTTTACCAAAAACAAATCAATTTTCTAAAAAACTATTTTCTAAAAATGTACGCTATGCGTTATTTTTGAGGGCTAGTTGCCAAGGACCCTTAACATTTTTTAAACGTTTATAAATGATCCAAATTTTTGTACTTTGAGGAAATTTTTTATTAATTATACATTTAAAATATTTTTTATATATAAAAAAGTAGTATTAAAAATGTTTGACAATACTCGCACGACTTGTATTACTCGTACACTCGTATTTAAAACAGTCTAACGCTGTTATAAGTCTAGCTGATAAACACATCTAACACTTTCTTAATCAACCGCAATCTATTTTTTAAAACTTAGAACCTCCCTCTTCAATTCATTTGAGGTGCAAGCTATTTGTTTCTGTTTGTAATCTTCTACTTGTTTGTCTTCTTGTTTTACATATCTTGATTTTCAAATCTTCAAATATTTACTTTTCCCTTACCTGCTAATACAAACTACAGAACAATATATATTCTGTAAAATACAAAAAGTGTACAAATTTATCTGATCACAATATCTTGAGTATTACAATAACGTTGCAATAGTATTGCAAGTATACGAACTTAAAAAATTTTAGCTTTTTTATTTTACACAAAGAATTAATAGTTAGTAGTAATAATATCTATGTTACTGAATACCTGAATTATCCAAAGGACTTATCGTACTGTCATCTTGATACATAATGACTGAAGGTTCAGCACAATGTAACATAACCACATTGCAGACAGTTTACTTTACATTATCATTAAGTTTTTATAAAACAAAACTAACTTTGCTATTACGTTATCAAGCCATTACTAAATATTAACGCCATGGTACTCTTTAAACAATTGACACCATTTATATTTAAAATAATGTATTATAAGAAGCTGAAAAGTATGTAATTTAGAAAAAGTTTGTACAAACTTTTTTTTTTACACTATTAGAAGTGGGTCGCACAAATATATTTATTCGTGCTGGAGTTTCGTTAGCGCTTCATATAATGTTTAATTTATTGTTTGACGCCTATCGTGTGCTAAAAATATAAACAAAGATATGGCAATGAATGGTTTGTTTGTTTAGGGAGGATTTAAGCGTGCCAACATTGAGCAGCTATGCAAACCCTGATGTTTTTGAGCCAAATGACATTTTCAAGTCAATATCTTCAAAAATACTTTAAGAATAAAAATAAAAACAACATTTAATAGGTTATTATTATTTTTTAAAGAACCCAAATATGTATGTATATGTATGTATAAACATCAAGCCAGTACATTCTATCATTTATACAAACCAGACAAAATTTAAATTCGAGAAAAAGTTCAAGAAAGGAAAAAGAAATCGCTATTATAATATTAACTATTGCATATTATTTGAATAGCTTTAAAGGATTTGATGAAGTTCAATATATTTAAATAAATTTTATTTTTAAATAAATTTAAACTAGTTTATTGAATTTAAAATGAAAAACATTAAAAAAATTTCACGTTCATCTTTGTTTTCATATTTGTTTGAATATATTTAACAAAATGTTTTACACTATAATATAAACTTTTTTTTGATTCAAATATGTCTGTTGCTACTGTTTTATACTTTACTTAACAAACACTTTGTGATATTTTTGAAATATTTAAATATAAATAAGACAACTTGTGTATGTACCTGGTACCTCTATTGGAAAAAAAAATGATTATTTATTTTTGTATTACAAACTTTTAACTGGTAGCAAATATTGTGAGAAATGAAGTATACTTTAACTTTTACAGCGTGTAGGAATATTATATGCACAAAAATAATGTTATATACATAAAAATACATTTTATAAAAACATTCTACGGACAACTTGTGGTTAGACCCTAAAAGGGAAACTTTTACTGAATCTCTTAAAGCCTTTGTCTGAAATATTTAAAAGCTATTGTTTTAAATCTTTTGAAGCTAATATATTAATGACACTTCAGTAAATGTAACATAATTCTTCAATTTAATACAACATATATAAAAAGGCTTATAACATGCAAACGAACTAAATTTACCTGAAAGCAGACGGAATTCACCTCTGTTCATTTCGGATTTACTTTGTTTGGATTACACAAATCCAATACTTCAATTTAATTAATGTTTTCTTTGAAATATGTTATTGATGGACTTTTTAGGCATGCGTTCAACTTGTAATAACATACTTTTTTAAATCCTGCTGTTTTTCTACACCGCATTGTTTTTAATGAGAATTTAACGCACATTTAAGCTGGTTTAAATTTAGTTTGAAAGGAAATTTGTCATGTCTGTTTTTCTTTTTCTTTTTTTGATTGATCGATTGATTGATTGAGCAAGTTGTTCACATACTTCAACTAATTTGCAATTACAATTAGGTACATTCGATTACATACAAGTGTTTAATTTATAAAGATATGACCACGAATTTTATAGAAAGTAACTTTAATACTTAGCTAACATTATCTAAAATTAGTAATTAATTTACTGGAAAAAAATTAATTTATTTACTTTATATAATAATTCATTTCCTTCAAATTATTCATTTTTTAATTTTTTATAATTACTCTAATAAAACATAACTTTAATTTAATAAAGACTTATCTTATAAAAATATAAGAGCAAATAGTAAAAATTAAAATCAATAATAAAAATTATCATATATACTACTAAGCGCAATTGGTTTGAAAGTAAGTAACATCAAAAGTATAACAGCGCATCATGACTTTGTGAAATGAAGGTTTAGGAATGATTATTAATAAATATTAAAAATGTTTACTTATTGCTGAAGTCTCATTTTAAATTAGCCCACTTTGATTTATTTGACCAAGTGATTGTAGTTTGTTAACAGTTGCAAAGCTAAGGAGGTCTAACGTGGTTTAGTATTTACCAAACAAAATATTTAATGTTTTTAATATTTATTTTTTTACTATGTTTATTTCTTTTTTTAATAGTTATTTTTTGCTTGATATATATATATATATATATATATATATATATATATATATATATATATATATATATATATATATATATATATATATATATATACATATAGTAACATTTTTTAATAAAAATCAAAAAAAAGAATTTTGAGTGCTGTAAAAAATAAAGTTTATTTACATTTTTAAATGTTGTAAAAAATACAGATTTTATTAAAAGTTGAAAATAAAGAGCCTGGTATCTAGAAGTCTAAAATTTTGACTGGTTTTGAAAAAAAGTTCGCACAACTTTAAGCCAAATCAAAATTCATCGACAAGTTTCAAATTTCATCCGAAAATCTTTTTCATGCAAATATTATGGTAGTGTAACTATATATGAGAGGGTTTTAATCAAAACAATTACAAATAAATTGGATTGGCGAAATAAATAATTTAAAGAAAAGACATATGTACACTAACTACAAAATTAATGTATACTAATTATAAACAAGGACGGGTTCCATATTGAGGTTTCTTTACTTTTCAAGTGAACCTTTTTTATTTAAAGAAAAAATAAACTAACTTTATTACAGGAAAATATGCTTCATTATATGCAACTCCTAAAACTCTGTTTTCTGAAAAAGATAAGTCTATTAGATCTCACCATAGTTTGTCTTAGTCATGTTTAAATTTGCAAATTAGAACAGAATTGCTTTGAAGAAATTTTTCTAAACCAATTGTATACCAATATTAGGAGGTAAATAAAAATAACTCCTAAAACCTTTTGCTTTTGTATGAAAATATATTTTCTTTATTTGTTTGTTTTTATCATAATGAATAATAATTAACGTGGTATATGAAACTTATAATTTTTAAATGTTTATCTTAACTGTCTTTTTTAATTAAATTTTAGTTTCTATTTATGAATTATATAGTATACAGTTATAATTATAGTTTGTGAATAATACTTTTTAAAGTTACGTTTCATAATAAATAAGATATTTGATAACGTTACGTTTCAGTAGATAACAATACTCGATAAGATATGGTTTTAGTAGATATTATCAGTAGATAGTAGATAAGAATACTTAATAACGTTACGTTTCATTCTGGTGCTATAACACCAGAATAGCTAAAAAAGTGTTGTTTCTCTACTGATAATATTTACTATCTATTATATATAACATCTACTATACCTACTATATCTACTATATATAATATCTACTGATTATATTTACTAAACCCTGGGCTAAAAAAGTGTTGTTTCTGGTGGGTTGCTTCTGGTTAGTTGATTCTGTTTAGTTAGTTACTCTTGTTATAGTTGCCCTATTTTGAAACACAACGTTAAAAATAATTATTTTTTCTAATGTTAATATATATATTAACATTAGAAAAAACAGTTATTTTCAATATTGTGTTTTAAAGTAGGGCAACTATAACAAGAGTAACCAACTAAACAGAATCAACTAACCAGAAGCAACCCACCAGAAACAACACTTTTTTAGCCAAGGTACATAGGAGATCTTTATTTTGAGGAAAAAAAAACGATTTAATTTGTATATTATTTTCACACTGTTTTCATTTTCTGTAATTTTTAGAAACTTTATTTTTCAATTGCCTCAATCATTTTAACTAAACAAGCAATTATTGAATACAAATGAAACCTAGGTTGCATTGTTATTGAATACAAATGAAACCTATGTTGCATTGTTATTAGATACAAATGAACCCTTTGCATTATTACTAAACTAAATGTTGTTGAAATTTTCTTAAATCTAATATATTTCGAAAATGTTTACAACTAATAGCTACTGTAAGGCTGAACTTTATCAATGAGATGTTTTTTTAATACAAAAAATTTTATTGCAGCCAGATGAAGATCAAAGTAAAACTTGTATGTTATTGAAACCATACAGCAAATGTTTCGCAAACTAAATTAATTTTAGCATAACTTTTTTTTTTACTTTTGTTTATGTAAAGTTTTAAAATTTTATTTTTGTCAATTTTTTTAGTATTACCAAAAAGTTAGTTAAATTACAAGATATGGATGTGTTCCGTAGACCCATCAACAGCTAGCCAGGCTAGTTTTTGCAGAATTGCACGAAAGATGATGCGTTTTGGTAATTATAGTGATAACTAATTGAGTTTTCCTGTAAATTCAGTTGACATTAATAGCACTGACAACGTTTGGAAGTGTGCTACATTAGTGAACGACGCAAAAGAAGTTAAAACAAAGAAGGCAATTAATGTCCATTTTACGAATAATGTGCTAGCCATGACTGTAGCTTGGTGGGATGTTAAGTAGAGCAATAAGCTAACTGAGTTAATGTTATTCTCGATTTTGAATTATGTAACAACATAGTTTTTTTTATATCAAATATCGTTGTTTTTTATCATTTATTTACTTTCAAAAAACTTTTTAACTATATTGTTATTTTTAAATTTATATTTTATTAAGTATAATCTGTTTTTGACTATAATTTTGAGGCTTTTTGATATATATATATATATATATATATATATATATATATATATATATATATATATATATATATATATATATATATATATATATATATATATATATATATATATATATATATATATATATATATATATATATATATATATATATATATATATATATATATATAGACAGAACTGGATAAAAGAAAGGGCCCTATGCAAATTAAAGAAAAAATGGGGTTCCATTTTTAAATTAAATTTTATTTAAAATTTGGTAAAATCAAACTTTTGAGGGCCTCTGATCTTCGGGTTATATATTAAAAAAAATTATTATAAAATATTATAAAACTATTATAAAATATACATGATGTTGAACATCAACATCATGTATATTTTATAATAGTTTTAAACCGTTACAGTTTAAATAAAATCTATTGACGTCAGCAGCAAAATGACAACTTTTTCTTTGAAAATAAAAAATGGCGTTTAAAACTCTATTTTGACATATCAGTGGTTATCAAGATTAATCCCGCCGTTTCTAACATGGCACATTTTTTTTTTTTTTGTATTTTTAACTTTTTTACTAATTTTAAATTTCCTCTTTTACATTTCTTGTTACATCTTATTATGTGGTAACCAGGTTGGCTGTTGTTCGATAGTTTTAATTTATTTTTATAAGTTAATAGAAATAATAAATTTAGGATTTATTTAAATATCTTTCTGTATCCTACAATTTGAAATACTTTAAAATCTATATTAAAAATTCTTATACTTTTGTTAAAGAAACATTACTAAATTTATTGCACTTAAAAAATATTGTTTTCAGACAACTTCTTTGAAATTGATGTGCAATATTCTTTGTTTGCTTTTAAAAGAATTTATTTTCAATGAACATATTGACTAAAAAATTTATTTTGCTTTGCAAATAAACCAAATAAGATCTTTATATTAGGATAAAGAAAATTTTATTTAAACTCGGTGATAACCTAGTATTTGTTTTATTCTTGCTCTAGCCACTGATTATTTTACTCATTGTATTGTAAACATTATTAAATGCAAAATGTATACAGTTAACTATCTCGATATCTCGACTACCTCGATATCTCAACTATTTCGATATCTCGACTATCTCGATATCTCGGCTATCTCGATATCTTGAGTACTCGATAGTTCGAACTTTTGTGTAACTAGAACTTCATTTCTGGTCTCTTGCGCACTTGTTTGAGCCAAAATTCTCTCAATATCTCGAACTCTTGGTATCTCGAACTTTTTTCCCGGTCCCCTTACAGTTCGAGATAATGAGAATCAACTGTTTATTCAATTCTTTTTTTTAAAAATTTTTAAACTTATTTAAATTCCATAAAAAAATATTAACCAATAAAACAAAAACAAAAATTCGCAAAAACATGTCCGCCAAACAACAAACAGTTTTAGCATCTAGATGCTATATTTTTTTTCAGTGTTTTATTAAAAGATATCTTTTAATAAAACACTGAAAAAAATAAAACGAAAAAAAATATTTTAAAACACGTCTAAAAAAAATGCAACATGGAATTAAACTTCGCTTCTTGGATATTGTTTTTATTCTAAATAGAACAAAAATAAACTCCAAGAAAGATAAGAAAAACAAACAGTTTAACCTAAAAAAAAGTTTCACTAAATATATACAAAAAAGAGGTAAAAATTAGTAAAGCAAACTATTTTTTATTTATAAAGCTTGCAACCCAAAATGAAGTATAAAGCTTGCAACCCAAAATTATTTAGATAAAACGTACATATAAAGTACATCTAAAGCTTGCAATCCAAAATTAAGTACATATAGTTAACAATAAGGTGATAAAAATATTGCGCAAAATCCTTTGCGGAATCCCTTTGGGTGTATTTAGATTTTTACGCGGTCCCAATTTTCACAAAATTATATTCCATAATTATTTTGTTTTTTTTTAATATTGTTGAAAATACTGAATTAGAAACTCTCTCTCTTTAAATTTTTTTAAAGTATATTATAGCCATATTAATTCCAGTAACTATATATTATAGCAAATGGAAATTTATTTAAAAGAATTTTTTTTGGCAAAAATCCAAGATTTGTATGCTCACTTTTTATAGTTTTTGTTATGTAATGCCATACTTTCGGTATTCATATATATATATATATATATATATATATATATATATATATATATATATATATATATATATATATATATATATATATATATATATATATATATATATATATATATATATATATATATAGATATATAAATATATATATATATATATATATATATATATATATATACATATATATATATATATATATATATAGATATATATATATATATATATATATATATATATATATATATATATATATATATATATATATATATATATATATATATATAAATATATATATATATTATATATATATATAATATATATATATATATATATATATATATATATATATATATATATATATATATATATATATTTATATATATATATTTATATATATATATATATATATATATATATATATATATATATATATATATATATATATATATATATATATATATGTAATATTAGAAGCATTTTATTTTAAGGGTGATCTAGTAGAGTAAACTAGGCACAACTAATGTTGAACTACGTAAAAAAGTTTTTTTTCTTACATTTTAATTAAACAGTGATCTAGATATCCGGAGTTTGCAACTCCTTAAGTCATTGAATGCCAAAATTGCTAACACACTTTAACGTAGTTACAAAATAATAATGCATTTTTTGCTTATTATTATAAACGATTATTTTGATTATAAATATTTTCTAATAATAGTATTCCTTAAAAGAAAAGAACTTTGTTTATACTCAGTTGGATAAAATATTGATTGACGAAGTAGTTTTAAAATTACATTAACAAAAGGAAACATGTTTTTTATTAGTACCATAGTTTTCAATCATCTACGCTGGACTCGGTTTATCAAACTGGCATTTATTAAAAGTTCCTGCATATTTAAAGTGATTTTTATTTCCCTAATGGTTTTATTTGTACAATTTTATACAAACTGCTGACGTCAATAGATTTTATTTAAACTGTAACGGTTTAAAACTATTATAAAATATACATGATGTTGATGTTCAACATTTGAAATACAAAAAAATTATTAGTATTAACAAAAACATTTTTTCTGCTTTTATTTAAAGATTTTATTTAAAAGTTCCTGCATATTTAAAGATTGATTTAAAGTTGATTTGTTTGCCTATGTTATTTAGAAACGCATAAAATAAAAAGAAACTTTTATTTTCTCAAAAACATTTTTACATTTTACAAAGTTTTTGTAACTTACAATTGTAAAATAATATATTATATATTCATTATTTTACAATTGTGAGTTGCAGTAGAAAAACTAGTAACTTCGTTGTTTCTCAAGTTTACAGTTTTTCCCTTAATTTAAATGTGACAAATGTTCAATAGGTTAGCTTTTACGTCCAACGGCTGCTCTTTTTTCGAAAACAGAGTCGAAATAATTGGACAACTACTAAGTTTGACATCTAGGAGAGGTTTGGACACGGTTTAAAAAATAAAGGCAACAAAAAAAGTATAACATTTAAAAAAAATTTTGTTATTGCTTTATATAAAAAAAGACTTTTAAGCAGACATTTACTCTTGACACCTGTTCTTTGGTATAGTGTAAACGATTGGAACAAAATTCAAAGCACCATTGATCAGTAACAAAGAAAATAACTTTACATCAAAGCTTTGAAAATACAACCCTCTTGGTGTCAAGCTTTGAAAATACAACCCTCTTGGTGTCACTTGTTTAAATGCTTCTTTTCATATTCAAAAAAAAAAAAAACTTTACAATGCTTTTCATTTCTAAAAACCTTTTAACAAATAAAAGAGTATAATGGCATCATAGCCGTTTCTGAAATAACAATTTTATGGCTTTATTATTTGATTTAGAATGATTTAACTTTTCTAACTTATTATGTTAATATGATGTAGTTATAAATTAGATTAATTTGACTAACTTATGTAAGTGTAACATGAGTTTATACTCAATTAGTAGTAAATTAAATTCAACAAACTGAAATCCATTAATAGAAAACTTAATGGAAACTCCCGCTTTCCGTTTTGTTACAAAAACCTAATAGTTTATTCTTTATTCTTTAAAGTACTCTAGAAGTATTCTGTAAAATACTCTAGAAGTATTCCGTAAAGTGCTCTCGCTTGGTATGACGGCGGCGCAGATATAAACTATGCTACCAATAGCGACGCAAACAACTTTTTATAAACAACATAATTTGTATACTGAGCACAAACATTTTATGCGAAACATACAACTCATTTAAATTACTCTTTTAAATTAGGTTTACTTGCTTAATTTACAAGCTTACACCATAAGTAAGCCTGCAATATATTTGCAATATATTAAAATATATTGCAATATATTTGCAATATATCTTCTTTGTTTTTTTAAAAAATTAATTATTATGAACAGTTTCTTTCTGGATTACAAATCTATTGAAAAAAAAAACGTTTTAAAAACATTTTCTACAACCCTTTCTAAAATCATTTCTAAAAGATTTTTTTGTTTTTCATTTAATTTATTTGTTTCTTTTATTTCTCCTTTTTATTTTATGATTATTTTTTTTTTGTTTATCCGTTTTTTCTATTTGTTACACCATCTCTTATTTTTAACTAAAATGTAGCTTTTCTTTATTTGTTTATTTAATTTCTTTATTTAAATTGTCTTTGTCAATAGCTTTATCATATTTTTAGTATTATTATATTGTTATCATTGTTGTTGTCGTTATTGTTGTCGTTATTATTGTCGTTGTTATTTTCGAAATTATTCTCGTTGTATTTATCGTTATTATAATCGCTATTTTTGTATGTGGAAAAAAGTACAGAAATACAAAAACAATAACACTGGTAAAATAGATAAGA